CCGCCCTCGAGTCAGCCCGGTTCTGTGGTGATTATTTGTGTCAGCCAATTGCTGGGACCAGAGAGCCCTGGGCGTCGCCCGCACCTGGGCAGGTAGAGGTGCCGCCTTGGAGGGACAGAGGAGGGGTTGGCCGTGCTGTGGGGCGGGGCTGATGGAAGATACTGGACTGATGGTCAGTGTGTAGGGCAGGTGTGTCTGCCCAGGGAGTGTGGCCGCGGTCAGAGCCCCCGCAGCGCCCTGCTCATGTGCTGGTGGAGTCGGGTGACAGCAGGCGGCGCTGAGTAACGTCCAGGACTTCAGGGACCCAGAGCCAGTGGGTGGTGGGCAGCGGAGGCCTGGCTGTGGCCCTGGCAGATGGGCGCTGTGGCTCTGTCCGCCTTCACAGGTGCCTGTTCTGCTCTTTTCTAAAGCTCACCGAGCTGAGAGTGGTGCGTGCACTTGGAGCGAGATGGGGGCGCATTGTCTGAGGGCCCCAGTGTCGTGGAGAACACTTGGCTCCCGTCTGGGCTTGGGGTGTTGGATCGCGGCCCCGGTGGGACAGGCAGGAACTAGGATGGGCAGGGGCAGGGGACCCACATGGCGGCCCCACCGCGGGGCCTGGGCGCCCAGCCTCCTGCATGCAGTTCCCGAGGGGCCAGGCTCAGGTCGCCGGCCAGTGGAGCAGAGAGCGGTTCAGGGGCAGCAAAGAGTTTGTGCCTGAGCGGCAGCCCCCCTATGGGCTGAGCTGTGATGCCCGCCACCTCGGGTTCCTGTGGGCTCAGGGCTGTCGAGTCCTAAGAGACTGCCGGGTCCTCACAGGACCTGTTTGCACAGCACAGAGGTCCCTGGTTTCCTTCGATGTACAGCTGTTTCACAGAGGCTTTGTGAAGCACCATTTTCATGAACCACTCGGCCTGTCTTTCGGGTGTTACACAGCGTCCCCGCCTGTGACTGTTAGGCCTGTGGGAGCCCCCCCCCCCCGCGGCTCAGACCAGGTCCCTGCAGGCGCTGTGCTGTGTCCTGGGTCATTTTGATATGATAACAGCCCTTGGGGACCCATTCCCTCTCCGACCACGCCCTGCCCCACACTCA